AAAAGTCTTTGTGTGCGTTTTACTTCTCATGAATAAGTCAAACTTCTTGTACCACTACCTAGGTGCTTGTTTCAGCCCATAATGACTCTTTTTCAACTTGTACACCATGTGTTTCTTCTCCTTTACTTCAACACTATCTAGCTTCTCCATATAGATCTCTTCTTCCAAATCTCCATGCAGAAATACAGTTTTCACGTCCAACTGCTCCACTTCAAGATCTAGGCTAGCTGTCAAGCTCAAGATTTTTCAAATAGCCTAGATTTTGACAACATGTGAGAAAAGTTCATCAAAATCAATACATTTCTTCTATTCGAAACCTTTTACCACCAATCGAGCTTTGTGTCTGACCAGCTTGTTGTTTCCATATTTCTTGAGCTTAAAGACCCACTTGCACTTGAGTTGTCTTTTGCCTTTTGGAAGTTCAACCAATTCGTACGTATCATTCTTTTATAAAGAATTCATCTCTTCTTGCATGGCTTCCATCAACTGGATTTGTTCAGAATGAGATAGCACTTCCTTGAATTTCTTTGGCTCCCCCTCATCAATGACGAGGATATACTCCGAAGAAGGATACTCTATGGACTCTACCTTCTCTCTTTCAGATCTTCTCAAGGGTTGTTGTCCTTCTTCTTGTTGTTTTTGCTCTCCTTCTTCCTCTTGTGGACTAGGGTGCTTCCCTGCTCAACAACCTCTTCATCTACGCCTTTTGTGTGCCATTCTTCACCTGTGGAGGATTACATACAGGTATAGTATGAGTAGTAACAAAGTTAGTAAATGTACCATTATCATTTTTGGTCTTTGTTGATTGATCATTATCAATCCCGACCACATCCTTTCTGAAGATCACATCTCTGCTTCTGATGATCTTTTTCCTTTCTAGGTCCCACAATCTGTAGCCAAACTCTTCATCTCCAAAACCGATGAAGATGTAGGGAATAGCTTTGTCATCTTGCTTCGTTCTCTGCCCCTTCAGCACATGTGCAAAAGCTTTACATCCAAATACTTTCAGATGGGAGTAGGACACATCTTTGTTGGTCCAGACTTTCTCTGGAATGTCAAACTCCAATGGAACTGATGGACTTCTATTAATCAAGTAACAAGTTGTGCGAGTTGCTTCACCCCAAAATAACTTAGGTAGTTTTGTTATTTTGAGCATACTTCTCACTTTTTTTATAATGGTGCAATTTATCCTTTCAGCTACACCATTGTGTTGTGGGGTTCCAGGAACTGTCTTCTCATGTTTGATTCCATGGCTTGAGAAGTAGTCTTCAAACTCCTTTAAAGTATACTCTCCTTCATTGTCTGTCCTTAGAAGCTTTAATTTTTGACATATTTCTCTTTCCACCAGAGCATGGAATTTCTGAAATACTTGAAAGACCTGGTCTTTGGTTCTCAAGAAATAAACCCATAATTTTCGTGAAGCATCATCAATAAATGTGAGAAAATATTTGTTACCTCCCATTGATTCTATATCCATTGGACCACAAACATCAGAATATACTAAATCAAGTATATTCGATTTTCTTCCATGAGTTGCTTGGAATGATACCCTATGTTGTTTTCCAAATAAACAATAATCACAAGAATTCACAGTTGTACATTTTGCAAATGAGATGACTGACTTTTTGGATAGGATCTACAGGCCCTTCTCACTCATATGGCCCAATCTCCGGTGCCATAAATCTGTAGATGTATCATCTACAGTCGCATGTAATCCATCTTCACATATCTCAGTGGTTGTCTTGTACAATGTGTAGGGAGCAACTCTTTTAGCAATCACCAATGATCCCTTGGTGAATCTCCATTTTCTCTTGGTGAAGTGATTATTGTACCCGTCTCGATCGAAAGCGATCCCTGAAATCAAATGCATTCGCAGATCTGGTACGTGCCGCACATCTTTTAAAACTAATGTGCATCCGACATTTGTCTTGATACAAATGTCGCTAATTCTCATCTTGACCATTCCAAAGTCTCTTGATTTGTACCTACAGAAGAATTCTCTTACCGGTATGGCACAGTAGGATGTTTGCTGTGTCAACCACCCATTCTGACTCTTGGCTTGCTAAGTGCATGCATTCCTCCTCCTCGTGAATGAAGAGAACCACTGAATCATTGTTGTGCACTGCAGCAGTTGTGTTGTCATCATTCTTCTGGCCACTGCTCTCCCCTCGACCTTTCTTTGGTCAATCTCTTTTGAAGTGATCGGGTTGACCACAACTGTAGTAATTCTTACCCTTTGATTGGTTCCTAGACTTTCCACGAGCTTTGGATTTATCACGGCTACTCGATGCTCTATAAAAACTTGTTTCCCTTCTTTCCATGATGAGAGCCTACCCATGATTTTTGGACATCTTCCTCATCTTAACATTGAGTAGAATGGTTGATGTGACCTCCTTTATATCGATGGTATCTCTACCATGCAAGATGATTGTTGCCAAATTATCATAGGAAGATGACAACAAGTTTAGAAGCATGATAGCCTTATTTACTTCAGTGATTGTTTCTCCAAGGTTTGCAAGATGCGTAATTAATCTATTGAACATATTTAAATGGGACAAGAAATTTGTACCTTCACTCATATGGATGACATAAAGCTTCTTTCTAAAAAAATAATAACTTGTTTGTCAAGGATTTGGACATGTATAGACTTTCTAGTCTTTTCCAAATACCACATGCATTATTTTCATCCCCGACATTATTGAGTACTTCATCGGACAAGTACAGTCTGATAGCACTAGCCGCCTTCTTATCCATGTCTGCCCATTTCTCGGCTTTCATGGTTTCCGACGTTGCCTCTTTTCCATCTAGTGCAATGTCTAACCCTTGTTAGATGAGAAGGTACATCATCATTCTTTGCCATGTGGAAAAACCGTCATTACCGTTGAATCTTGTTACTTCATACTTTACTCCTGGCATTTTTTTAGTTAGAGAGTAAAATTGGCTGTAAATAATATTTATGTGAATGAGCAGAACATGTGCTCTAATACCAGTTATTGGGAATAAACCCCCACATAAATAATACTCACGATATATTAATAAGTACGGATTAATAAAATACTGTAACCAACGGTAATAATAAGAGAAACAAGGAGGACGATATTTTTACGTGGAAAAAAATCCTTCTGAATAAGAGAAAAACCATGGCCTCGAACTGAACTGATATCACTATAGCAAAAAAACTTACACTTTGTAGGTCCGAGTGAATACTCTAAAGACCACTACAACACTCAAAAGAAATAACTCTCTTTTGATATTCTCACCTCACTATAATATCGCTCACTTTCTATTTTTCTCTAGACAATCTATTTCTCATAATGCTTGAGAAATACTCTCTCCAACTATTGTGTTGCTTCTCTTTTTGTGTGTGTTAAAATGAGAAGCATATAGCTTCTTTTTATTGGAGAAATTACCTAATTCTTTAACCAATCAGAACGAAGCTCCCACCAATTTGGCAATCCAAGTCCAATTAGGCAATTTTGACTTTTTCATTGTGGGGATGGACACTACAATAGCAAACCACCGTACTAACGACAAACCACATGTTTATTTTCAGAGGCGAAAGTTTTAATTAGGGGCTGCTTGGCTGCTTCAATGATGAAGCATTAAGTCGCCACATCTTTAATCTATGAACGAATATGTCATGTCGCCATCTCTATTTGTGATTGACTGAATGAGACAAGTAGTATGCCAATCAAACAAACAAGTTATTGAAATAAAATAAAAAAAACGGTAGAAACAGAAATAAAACAGAACCAAACAAAACGAATTTACAGGTTTTTGTAACAGTCTCAGAAATTACCATTTTCTTCTTTCTTACCTTAAATTTAGCATGAGATTTGCTGGACACTAAAACGAATTTACCGGTGTTTGTAACACAGTCTCAAAATGCTGAATGCCAATTTTGATCTTCCAGCAATTAAACTGAAACATTTTCAATTAACAGAACTAAAAGAAACTAGAGAACAAGTCTATCTCCTAGTGAGGCCTACAATAAGAACGACAATGTTTTCAGAAATTTGGTCCCAATTATCTTTCTATTTTTAATTTTAACATTTAACACTTCTATATTGAAATTACAGAGAAAATACTCACAAGATGGATCACAAAGAAAAATCATAACTTTTATAATAGGAAATGAATCTGAAATTCCAGAATCAATGGCAGGCTAGACTTGAACGATTGCAGCTCATATCAGCACAGAAATTTCTGAAACTTTGATTCCTACAACAACCAAGTAGTAAAAATACCCAAAAATAATTAGCGCACCTATTATTAGCACTGGGACGGGTAACAAAATGGGTCGGGTTCACATACCAGTCTCCCTTAGATTAAAGGAGTTTTAAATAACTAGTAAATAATTAAGCCAAGCCATAAATACTACCCCTATCTAATAAAAAGACGAAGACCTGAAATTTATGAACATATAGGAGAAAATTTATGAAGTTTTTGGATGCTGCGCCAAACTTGTACAAAAAAAATGTCAGACATGTAGAAGTTTGGAATTGCAAGGCTTGCTTGCTTCCTTTGTCTAAAGTTAGGAGTGTTTTGAAATTTGCTATTTCAAGCAAAATTTGTAATTTCAGACGCAAAATTTTGAAACTTTACTATCGTGTATCTGAAGTTATTCTCAAAGTAGGTAAACTTATAAAAAAATTTATGACCTTCGGATATAACTTAAAATCGGCGATCTGTGCACTTTCTACATTGGTTCAGAATGAGTTGTTTTGGGCAAACTTCACTCCATGTCTCACATATTGTTCCTACATTGTTTCAGAATGAGTTGTTTCTTATATAGTTTTGGACAAACCTTACTCCAAGGTCTAGAGTTAGGATCAAAGTCAATTTCTATCATTTCAAAGACTCAATTACTGGTTTCTACGCTCGATTACAAGCTTAACAAAACAAACATCAAAAGTTGAACATCAAACTCTCTTTCCACTTTAAAATGAATATTAGAAACAAAAGAAAACAGAACTTTCTTTTTTAAAGTTACATGTGTATATACAATGTTCTTTTTTATTCTTTTAAATTGGGTAATTGTATTATACAATGTTCTTTGTCCTAACCTTTTCTTTTTTCAGGTCGATTCTTATTTTTCATGAAATGAATCGCAAAGACAAGAAAAGATAAAATTACAGCTGAGCCTGCAACTACAGGTACAAACATCTTGCTCCTTCTCTGAGGCAGCTTATCCTCATCCTCTTCTCCAGTCTTCTCTTCTTCTTGAATTCCGTTTGCTTTTTCGCAAGCTTTATCATCTTTCAAGCACTTAGATTCAAGTTTATCATCACCTATTTGATCACTATGAGTTTCCCTTGCTTCTTCAACCATATCATCGGTCTTCTGGCTCTTGTGTTCTACTTTTGGCATTTCGGTTTCCATTCGAGGAACTTCATCTTTAACACCATGTTTTTCCACATCCTCATGAACTTTTTGGATATTTGATGGAAAACCTGGAAATCGCATTTCTGTTTCTTGACTCACTTGTTCTGCCAAAGTCTTTTCCTCCAATGGTTTTTGTGGTATTTCTTTAACAAGCTCTGGCTCCTTCACTTCCTGAATTCCAATTCCAAGAATTCCCTTCTCCCTCTTTGGCATTGTAATAGTCAGAATGGATTCTTCCTCATTAAAATTAGTCATAATTTGATCCAAGATCACCCCATTTGGAATCTTGAAAGCCTTTGTAAATTTTCTAATTTCTACATCTTTTTTTAGCACTGTCCACCCCACCATTACAGTCTCTTGGACCGGCTTCTCACATGTTATCACCATCATACTCCTTTCCTCATTAATATCAATCTTTATGTTTCCAAGCGTATAACCTACACATAGTTTTTCCACAATCAAATAAAATAACCAATGCCTCCCATAAATAATATTAAGGCAAGAAACATTGAAGACATATTCATCTGACTGTATATGGTATTACAGAAGTCATGTTCCATGTAAAATGTTCTCCTGTTTTCATGGTGTTTGGTTGGAGTAGAAAATATTTTCCTGGAAAAATATATATTAAAGACAAGTAATAATATTAGCAAATTGGATCGTGTTTTTTAGAAATTTTGTTTACCAAAGATAAATAATAATGTATAAGTATTAGATGGAGCAAGGTTAAAAATAAGGTTGTTGTAAAGAAAATGACTTCCGCTCATAAAGTGAGGAAGTCATTTTCTCCCTTATGATAGTAATCAAACACTAGGACATAACTTTCTCATAAAATATATTTCCTGAAAATAACTTCCGTCATTCCAAACACACTGGAGCTAACCTTTCAAACGAGCTGTGAGGATGAACATAGTGTTTGTTTCTGCAAACTGGAAAAGAAGGCCAGCTCGATCTTTCTCAAACTGAAGAAATTCAGTAGAGGCGAATTCATCTGCAACTCTTGTTACTTTGGATCGCAATTCCGGATTCATTTTTGGTGATTGTTGGGGAAAACTTGATTGAGCAAGTAAAAATAAGGATTTAAAGTCAAATATTAGAAAGTAATAAAAAGCATATGCTGGAAACATGGTAGAAAAGCATATATGCTTTGCTTCATAATCAATTATACTTTGATTTAATGTCATGATGGACAAAAGTTTGCTCACAAAGTTATGTCCAAGTTCACCTTCAAACTGAGGTTTTTACCTGTTATTCCAAAGAGACATGAATACATTGTAAAATGACCAATAGTTAACGGATTTATGCACCGAGAATATAAAGAATATTTACAATATCACCTGTTGTTTATTCACTATAATGAAGGGAAAAAAAAAAAAGGACACCTTAATGGACCACACCAGCAGGAGATTGAAATGTTGCTCAAGACAAAAATGTAAAAAACTTGTTTAATAAATCCTATCAAATAAATGAGCAAGAAAATGCTGGCAAATTAGTCATTACCTTTAGATGCATTTCTTTGACTGGAATTACCTCCGTGGCTATCATTAAGAAAACTTTTGACTCGGTCAACAAGAAAGCCACAGCTTTGACCAAGATCTTGAGACCATAACCACCTTTCAACTCACATGCTGAGAATTGTTTAATAAATATTCCTGAAAGATCAGAAAACTTCAAGAAGAAAACAGCAACTTCTTCAGATAATCATTGGTCAAAAAACTTTTAATAAGTCATTAACAAAGTTCTGTTATTGACCCGAGAGACGGTCGATGAAAAAGCTAGCACTCATGTCAGAAATAAAAACAAGAATTCCAGAGATCAAGATCCTTGGATTTCAAAGGTAATTTCTGAGTTAGGAGAAAATGAGAACTAAAAAAAGAAAGTGCAATCCCATGCAATAGGAGAAAATAGTTGTGACCAGCAGGATATTTCATTGCTTGTGCAATGAAATATCAGAACCATATGAAAACTATTTGGAGAAAATGCCCAAAATACAACAGTTAACCATGACAGAAAGGAAAAAAGAGAAGTTTAAATATAGCGTGGCACCATCATAAAATAATTAAAACAAAAATGCTAAACGAGAAGAGAAATGGAGCAAAAATAAGAGATAGAATCATAGACAACTAAACAACTTGGAGAGTAATTTCCATCTTGCTAATTAATTTCCTTTATAAGAAAGATAGAATGCGAGAGCTTCAAAAAATGCATAATGCATTTATATATATATATCAACAATTACAGCCAATGTAAACAAAATAAGAAACTCAGTTACAGAGCTAAAAGAAAACTGAGCAACTTTAATACAATCCTATGATGAACACTACAACATGGACCAAAGATCCAGCTATTTTGCATTCTTTCATGATACATAGTGATAAATACATAACTTTACGTCTATAAACTATTTTGGGACATTGCACCATTTCATCCTCCCTCTTCTTCTCATCTAAAATAGGGCAAACAGAAATAAAAGAAAAGCAACAAGGGGAAAATTGAGAGCATAATCTGCTCTTCCAACAATGGGTGCACACACACACACACACTCGATTACTACAACTCTAAATGGAACCTCGATTCCGTTTTTATACCTATGTAACTCATGTATCCCTCATCCAATAGAGTTCAGGCCCTCGGTCCTGCTTCGAACAATCCTATGAAACACTTGTCTTACCTGGCGTTCCAAAGGGTCCAATCCGTCTTTTAGGCCATAGTAGACTTGCCCAAGCTCTTGAACTCTTTGCTTCACTTCCCCTTCCTTTTCCTCTGAAAGCGGGAAGTGAATCGTATCAGTTAGTTCATTCATGTGGCGCGCACATTTCTCGATTTGACGAATCTCCTTCAACAATCCAGTAGCATTTCTACGCTCCCTCTTCCTCGACTCCTCCAAGATCCTCTCATGGAGGGAGAGAAGTGGAGCACCCCAAATGAATTGCCTAGTGACATGGAAATGCATTTGAAGGCCACGGTCTTGGCAAGGAATTGCAGCCACAAGCGCCCACATTACAAAGTAAAGCACATAGCTCATTGTAAAAACAGCTACTGCTAATCCATTGGTGGCAATAATTTCATTAGTTTTGGGAGCAACTAAGTTTTGACCAATTGCTTGAAGCTGCTTAGCAGCAGACCAATTCCGCGATACACTCCACGACAACGATCGAAATTGGCCCAACGAATTATGATCCTTCTGAGCATTGTTTCGTCCGAACGACCTGTTTCTATGAGCAAAACTTGAATTAGACTCTTTTTCATCAAGCATGCCAATCGCCAAATCAATCAACGCTTTCATGGAACGACGAATTTGGCCTTCCCCAATACTCCTCTGATTGTCCAATGCGTAATAAACAATCTCCAGCTGCTTCTGCCACTGCCTGATCAGCTCAATCCCATCTCGAATCGCATTACACACATCTAATGCTTTCAAACTCCTTTCGAAATATTCCGTTATGTAACGGTCCATAGGGGATTTATTCAAGCACCCTTTATTCTTAAACAAAATGGACCTGAACTGTTCTTGACAAGAAAGGAACACATCCAAAAGTTTCCTAATCCACGGAATCGAAAGAAGCTGATCAGAGTCAGCAGATGCCAAATCATTGAAACCCTCAGCTACTTGCTTTTGAAAAGCTTCAAGCTCAAGCTCTTGGCTTGTACCCTCATGAGAAGATTCCATAGAATGCACTTGATCACGACTACGTATGCTCAAAATGGACCGTCCAAATGTTGTAAAAGATGCAGATGCCCCTTGATAATCTGTAGCTGGCATTTCTTGATTTTTACATGAAACAATCAAATAGCCCCCCAACAAAATCTTGAAATTCAAACCCAAAGCTCTCAAAAAGGGAAACCAAAATATTGCTTTTTTAGGACAGATATCAAGAGATAAAAGCGGAATTTAGATGGAAAAAAACAGCTTAATTGGACAATTCAAGATTTTCCCAGCTGAAACCCCAGATTTACATACACAAATGGAACAATCTTAGACAAAGATCCAAACTTTCAAATGAAAATCCGTGACAAACCCACAAAAACCTAAATATGATCAAGGAAATGATTCAAAATTCAAGTACCCCAAAATGAGCTTTACCTTGAGACCTCCAAATTCTGAAGCCTCTCAAATCTTACGTTTCACTGAAATGAGAGGAAAAAAGTAATGAGACTTGAGGCATTTCAGTAGACAAGGAAAGAGAAAAACATAAAGGGGATTTGAAAGACTAAGGTAAGGATGTTTTTTTGGAACCCTAAAAAAGGGGCTTATATTGTGGTCGATTTGGACCGCGTAATATCGGTTTGTTGGAAAATAAAAACAAAAGAGAAAAAGGGAAGAGAGAGAAATTGGGCACTCTTGAAAAAGTAATCCCTCTAATGGCAGACTTTACAAAACTATAATCGAAACTAAAATATGGTGAATTAAGCTTTAAACAAGCTGATTTACTCCCTTCCTTAGGGTGTGTTTGGTATAATGGAAAATATTTTTCGTGGAAAATATTTTCTTTGGAAAACAAACAGTAATCTTACTCATTTTTCGGTGTTTGGTACGCAAATTAAGGAAAATAATTTTTCAAAAATATTCATAAATTATAATTTAGATACAATAAACATAAAGTCATAAACTTTCGAACCAACAACCTTCTGAACTCACAAATTTCATAAACTTTTGAACCGCTAAACTTTCAAACTCGTAAACTCTATAATTTCTAAACCCGCAAACTTCCAAACACATAAACCTCTGAACTCATAACTTTGGAACTCGTAAAATTTTGAACTTGTAAACTAAAAACTAAAAGAAAACAGAACAGAAAATATAAAATAAAAGAAAATTGCGGGGGGTGAAGAAAAACGAAAAAATAGAAAATTAAAAATACAAAAAATAATAATATTTTTTTTTGTGTGTGTGTGTGTAGGGAGTGGGGGGATTGAGGGTGAGTGGCGTAGAAAAATAAAAAAATAGAAAATTGAAGTTGGAGGGGGTTGGGGTTAGATGTGAAGGTTGGTGGAGTTTTTGGAAAATATTTTCCTAACTTATAGGGGAGTCATTTTTCTCCAATTTTATGAAAATGTGATGTCTAGAAAAATATTTTTCAACTATTTTGTGCAATCAAATAGTGAAAAATGAGAAAATATTTTCCGAAAAATATTTTTCGTCATACCAAACACACCCTTATATCTGTTCATTTTTCAAAATAATACTTAGCACAAATTCAGTATTTAAAAATAATTTAGTTTTAAATGTATCATTTTACTTCTAGGAATCGTTTGAATTGTGGGATAAGAGATGCAAAATTATTTTAAGTTGAATTTTGATTTCAGGATTGGTTATATCATAATTGTAATATTATTTTTATACCCCGTTCAATGCGGGATAACAATTTCGAAATTACTAATCTTGAGATTAAATATCGAAGTGATCAAAATGCATTTCTCCAAGGTTCTACTACCAAAATCCTTTAGAAAATCTAAGGTTAAAATTAATAATAAAAATATATCCCAACTTATCTAGTGGAAAACCAAACACATTTTATATTATACTTTGTAATTTCATTTTTCATCAAATGAACCAAATATATACCACTAAAAGTATACCCACGAAATAATGTTGTTATAATTTAAATTTCATATTATAGTTTAAGTATAATTTGTTCAATAACCAAACGACATCTTAATGATATGCGTTTATAGTCATAGAAATCTCAAGGTGTAACACCCGAAAAATTTTGAAGTGCTTAAGCGCTATTAAGAAAGTTGATGTGCGCTAATTATATTATTTTGTGTGTAGACGAGGACTATTAATATGATAGATATCAATTGGATATGATAATAAGTGTATGGGGCATATTATAAGTGGTGTGGGGTCTAAGGTGAATCCTAAGTCTAAGTCAAGTTGAAAATTTCATGATAGACTAAAGTTTCAAATGGGTACGTACGTACAAGACCAAACTTTGGACGAGCATATCTACATATATATAAGAAGTTATGTGATGGATGACCTATCAAATTAAAGCTCTTCGAGTCTAGTTTCTAACTCTTCAAACCGTTCGTCATTTGACACTCCTACAAGAAGTTATGACCAAATTTCAAAAGGCTGGCAGAATGCAATTCTGAGACCGCAAAATTATTTCGCGGGCCGCAAAAGTGGTTATGCGACCGCAAAATGGTCGCAGACCTGTCTAATGAAGCCTATTTCTGGGCATCAATTTTACGGTGCATTGTGCGACCCGCATACCAATTGTGCGGTCCATTATGCGACCGCAGACCTGAGTTCGGAGGGTTAATTTTTTTATTTTCATAACCCAATCCCATTTTGATAAAACTGCCTTTGGGGCTTATTTTGGGGTATTTTTCTGAGGGTTTTAGAGAGAGGTAAGAGCATTTTAGAGAGATAAGGAGGGAATCTAACATTCTAGTCAACCAATCTTGCACCAATCTTCAAGAATCAAGGAAATCAATCACAAGATCTTCATCTAAGAGGTAAGATTCAAACCCCTAGTCTTCAATTTCGAGTTTGGGGTAAAAGATTGGGGATTGGGAGTATGATTCTTGAATGTAAGAGTATTATGCATATATGCTTGTACCAACAAGGTTTGTGGGAAGATTGTTGAGCTCAAATAAGTAAGGATTGGGTTGTGAATTGAAGGAAATCTTGTAGAAGAATCTTGTAACTAAATTTACACACTTAGTATTTGATAAAATGCTCAAATGAGCTGAAAACATGAATATTTTCCTAATTATGGTTCACTTTTGTTATGTTTCTAAATAGATTGAAGTTTCTAAGATTTTCGGAACCTCGTAGTAATGAAAGGAAGGCTCAAGAAAGAGATTGAAGCCGTCCGGAGGTCAATTCACGTGAGAAAGCTATTTTGGAATATCGGCCTAACTTCAAAAGGTAAGTATCTTGCCTAACCTTGAGTGGGGAAATTACCCCTTAGGCATTGAGTCTTATATAAAAATTGTGTAATTGAAAACCATGTACGCGAGGTAACGAGTACGTAATTGATTTAGATGTGCAAATTATATCAGTTGAAATTCGTAGACTCCCTTATGTATCAAATTGGAAAATCGTTGGGACTTAGTAAATCCTTGATTTTTCATGCTTCATTCCTTGTTTGTCGAATTTGCATTTTATATGATAATTTGGTGTGATTGCCACTTTGATTTTTATGTGAATTCCGTGTGTTTGTTGATTTGATATTTCTTGGAAATAATCACATTATGGATTTTTCATATGCAAATAATTAATTAAATAAGTTTAAAGTGAGGCGTTTATATATTTATCTAAAATTTAGATTAAAGAAGGCGTTGTCCTATGATGAGTTATTTTCCCATCCTTGTGGTTGTTATGAGATTTTATATACATTGTGTTGAGTCGTGGACTATCTGTTGTGAAATTAATTAACTTTATTGTACCTTTGTAATGGTTGTAGCCTACGGAAAATTTGTAAATACGAGCTGATGATGTTATGTTGTTGTGATAAGATTCTATATGAATTGTTGTGTGATTTGGGTAACTATTAAGCGGTGTATAAGGGTGGCATTTTTCTGGCTTGGCTAGGTGGGATAGCCGAGCCATTCCCTTTTCTTTCGGATAGCAGGTTGGGCAAAACCACTAAAGAAAAAAATCTATTCAATTAGATTCCATTGTTGACATTATGTGGGCATAAGGGTGGCATTTCAATATTGTTATGTGTGTTGGGATATTGTCTGAGCGGAGTGATAAGGGAGGCTATTAAACGGAGTGATAAGGGAGGCTATTATAGGAGTGATAAGGGAGGCTATAGGAGCGATAAGGGTGGCTATTGATATTGTCAGGGCGGATGGATAAGGGATGCTATTATAGGAGTGATAAGGGTGGCTATTGATATTGTCAGGGCGGATGGATAAGGGATGATATTATAGGAGTGATAAGGGTGGTTATTGTCAGGGATAGTATGTGATGATGCGGGGTTATTATGTTGATGATTTTTATATGATAATGTGGGATTATGGTGTTGATGATTTTTGTGTAATGTTGTGATTCTCCTTGTGTTTATTATTATATCTTATACAATTTGTCTTGTTATTTCGGTAAACCTGATAATAGTTTGATCTATGTTAAAATTATGAGCATGTGGTTATTGCCGGGTGGATTATGTTATTGGCACGTGATTTATCCGTGCAGATGTGATATAAAATGTGGGCACGAGGTACTGCAAAAATATGATGATTATGATATTGACACGTGATCTGTCTGTACAGTTGTGATATGAGATGTGGGCACGAGGTGCGTGAGTAAATAATAATTATATTATTGGTACATGAGTTATCCGTGCAGTTATGATAGAAATATGTGCACGAGGTGCTGTGGAAATGTGAAAGTGGGCTAAGACCCGTGTTACGAAATATGAAAGTGGGCTGAGACCTATGTTTTATGATTATGAAATGAGGTGTTATAGAGTGACTTTTATTTGAAAGAAGTATATTTGAAAGACATTTATTTGAAAGAAGTATATTCGAAAGATATTTATTTGAAAGAAATATATTCGGAAGGTATTTATTCGAAAGAATTATATGTGAAAGATTTATATTTGAAGAACATATTTAATTGGTTGTACTTGTGTTCCTTATTCGTTTGAGTAATAATTATGGTGTTCTTGTTGCCTTGTTGTTTATATCCCTGGTTGATTTTGTTGCTATTATTGCTAGTTGTTTTACAGTACCATTGTATATTGCTATATTGCACAGGTTGACTAGTGAGTGTCTTGACTGTACCTCGTTACTACTCTACCGTGGTTAGTCTTGATACTTATTGGGTACCGACTGTAGTGTACTCATACTATACTTCTGTATATTTTTGTGGAGAGCCAAATATTGGAGATATTATACTCGGGCAGAGTTAGTGGGTTGATCGCAAGGATTCAAAGTAGAGCTGCTTGGTCATCGCAGTCCCTTGGAGTCTTTCCATTTTATTGTACTGTTAATTATTATTCGAACAATATTGTATATTCGATCCTTGAGATCATTTCATTTATCCAGTTAGAGTTCGTGACTCAGTATTACCAGTCTTGGGAGTTTGTTTGAATATTTTCGTTGTTGGTTTTGGCACTTGTATTAAATTATATATTTTTAAAAAAAGGGCTTGAATTGTTGTTTTAGTCGTCTTACCTAGTCTTAGAGATTAAGTGTCATCACGATGCCTGCTGTGGAATTTTGGATCGTGACAAGTTAGTATCAGAGCTCTAGGTTCATAAGTTCTACGAGTCACGAACGAGTTTAGTAGAGTCTTGCGGATCGGTACGTAGATGTTTGTACTTATCTTCGAGAGGCTACATAACTGTT